TGCATAATTTTATATATAATTATTTAATATGCATAATTTTGCATAATTATGCATAATTTTAATATAATTATACATAAGAAATTTTTTTACATTTTTTTAAACTTGATTTTTTCTAAAACAAATAATCTTTACGAAATGTAACTGCATTTCATAATTAGTCACCGAAAACTTTTAGGTCTGTGCGTATCATACAAATAATTTTTCATATTTTTATATTCTAAGTTCAATCGCGAGATTCTCACTCTTCGGTTTTATAAAAAATTGATTAGAGAATCGAAAATTATAAATGAAAGAATATAAAGAGTATTCCACGCAATGCTCGCGAATATTGTTTGTTCTTGTTTAACATTTGATAAACAACAAGAATTAAATGATTCATGAGAGCATTAAATGGAACGCAGTCAAAGTGACTCATTTCGAAACTTAAGTTTCGGAATTCTTATTTCATTTATATTTACATTATAAAGTAATTATAAGAAATATATAATAAAATATTCATTATATTTTTAATCAAAGTTCAAGCAATCTTCTTTAATCTTTGAACTTCATGTTAATGACTTGAGCTTGATGTTAATGACTGAATACCAGAGATATGATTTTTTTAACATTTTAAAATGTATATTTCCTATTGAATGTGAAAGAGTTGAAATGTCATAAAAATATTTATTAGCGTGCTTATTAATTTTTTGGTAAATGTTTCGCTAATAATAATTATTGTGTCGATAATTGTTCAAAACATGTGTCTGTTCAAATATAGGCTTCGACTGTGATATTATACTACAGAGTTGAGATTTAATTGCATATTTCCGGCTTATTTCGTTATCAACATCTTCACAAAGTATTAAGTATTCATTAACTCATTGTTTAAATACAAGCAAGAGGAAAACAGTAAAGACCATGGTACATAAAAACTTAAACAGTAAAATGTAAACAATAACACATTCAACATGTTATTTCCTTACTGCTTACATTTTACTGTTTAAATTTTTTATAGCACTAAAACGTCGACAATGAAATCTGCTTGAAATGTGTAATTAAATCTCTGTTACACTACGATTAAAATAACGTGTGATCGATTCTTCTTTGAACTATCACGTTGAAAATTTGATGATCTTCAGAAATGTATTCTCTCTTGATTCTTCTTGATTGTTCTTGCTGGAAAATAATTACCACGTTGCTACTTGGATCGTTCTCGATGGTCATTTTTGACAGGCACATCATCGAGTAAACTGTACAAGAATCTTCAATCTTCTTGTACGAAAAAAATTCGCTATTTATTTAGCAATTGTTATTATTCAACGCAAGATGTTGCTGATCCTTCATTCATCCAAGTGATCAGTTCTCGTCAAGCTTGCGTAGCGTATTTACACAAACGTTTTCTTGTTCGTTCAGGTTCACGTGTTACTGTTGTCATGAACATGCACATGTGCATGTGTGGAATTGGCGAGGGGTGAATGTGGTAAATGTGGAGGCGATGAAGGTAGTTCGATGAGAGTGACGTCATATCCGGCGGGAGAATCACTCGGATCGCCAGGGTCACCCGGCGAGCCCGGATTGTTCGGGTTGCGTTCGCTGCCCGGGTCTGGATTTATCCGTGAGTGGCTCACCTCCAGCAGAAATAGGTCCTCGTCGACGTAATATCGGATCATGTCGTCATCAATTTTCGCTGTAATTCTGCAACAGGATACGGTGAAATTCTCGGTTAAATTTTCTCGGCGCAACTCGCGAATGAAAACGGCGAATCTAGTTTCAGAGAAATGTGGCATGCAACGCGATAACTTCGACCACTACAATATTGTGACATTTGATGAACGAATTGTATTTCTTACAATTTCATTGCGTATGATTAACAAAATCTCTTAATGTGAATAAGTGTTAAAATTTTATGGCTTAAAAAATTTTTGGCAACAATAAGTTTTATAAGAGAAGTTTTCGTATTGCGATGAATATTACTTCTTTTATGGCTACGTTCAGCAGAGAAAACTAATCATTTGGCGTTTAATAATTCTTTAATATGATTGTTTCCTACACTTAGATCCAATGAAGGCCTAAAGGCAAGACCTAATCATATTATATAAAGAATCAAAACTGATTAGTTTTCTTTACTGAACGTAGCCTATTTAATAAATTTTTATAATAATTTTTTTCGTTTAATATCATTTTACGATATTAAAATGAAATTATTGCATGTAATTCGATTTATGACATCGTTATCGAATCATCACAGTATCATAACGGTAAAATGTTTATGCTGTCTTGCGATGGATCTTCTTCAAGATCTCGTGATGAAAAAAGTGGAGTTCGCACCGCATTATGCGTAGCTTGAGAGAAAGAAAGAGAGAGCGTAAGATAGGATTTGCTTAAACGACGTGAAATGTACATGTCGAGTAACGAAGAATATCTGTTCGAGGGAACAAGTTCCTGCAGGAATACGCAGTGCGTAACCAACGCATGTTGGAAAAACCGGCAGAATAAAATAATCAGTTGAACGAGACGCATGACGACATTAGGCGAGGCAAGCAAGGCGTGCATGAGTGCGCTTGTGACGGAAGGCAGAAGATGAGAAGCGTGAAGGATTAGTGGATTAATCAGGCGTGATTGTGCGTAGCGGTAGCGAGATGTAGTCAGCGTGCAACTACATTCGCGTTAAGGTGATCGACAAAGAAAGGACATTTTTAACGAGAGAGTACACGAGAATGGCGTATACATTTAAATACATATGTCGCAGAGAAACGTGTATCCGACATTTGAAAGAGGCACGATCATAGGCAAGAAAGAGAGAGAGAGAAAGAGAGAGAAAAAGAGAGAGAAAGAGAGCGAAAGAGAGAGAGAGAGAGAGAGAGAGAGAGAGTGAGATAAAGAAATTAGAGAAAGAAAGACTACCAAACCAGGCGGAGAGAGTCAGGCAATGTCACCGTTATGGCATGCATCGCGTAGGCGTGCATGCAAGTAAAGATGACACTCTACTAAACTTACCCCTTTGTGTTTTTGCGATAGAGGTTATTAATACTCGAGGATGCAATTTTGTACTTTGACTCAATCTGCAAAATAGAAAAAAGTAGAACATTAGAATTTCGATAGTGGCTTGCGGACCGTCGTTTCGTTTCGCGCACGCACTCGAGAAAGTGATCGCGAGACGCGCGTAGGTAGACGCAATATTACCGCGAGAATGACAGCAAGAGAGAAAGACAGAAAGATAGAGTAAGATAAAAGTAGACAAGACAGATCGAAACGGGAAGACATAATGATGAAGAGATATATATCGCGCGTCACAAGAACGCGGAGGCAGTTTAGAACTGGTTCAAGTTTAGAATCGGTTCAAAGCGCGATCCGAGATAGGAGATCACGCGTGGACCAATTAGATCATTCTTTCGCGGGACGTGTAGAAACGCGCCGAGAGAAGAGAAATCGTTTAAAATAAAAGAGAAAGAAAGGATGTTTTTTTCTTCCACTTTTTTCTTTCATTATTTTTGATCGGTATAACGCGTCTTTTACGTCTATATTTGGTAGATTGTTAAAAGCCGCCGACAGTCTCGCACATCCACGGAGGAGGAGAGGTAAATATGATCATATGTCTTGCATTATCGATAATGTATTAATGAGGATCTTGGATCACAGTGGACAGTGATGCATGCGCATTAATATTAATTAGCGAGTGGACCAGTGCAAACGAGTATTAATAATGGCGCAGTATGCTTTCACATGCATGCAATACATATTCTCTCGTGGGACTTGTATATGTGCATGTAAAATATATGTGCATATACAGTGGCGTGCAAAAGTTTCCGGCCAGTAACATTTTGTATAATATATAATCTAATTTATTAAAAAAAAAGCCCGAGAAAATTTTAATCATTATATCAGATGTTGGTACAAAATTTCATTATCCACGTCTTGTACTGACATACCA